CACACCACCAGCCTCCATGTGATTCGCTGTAATTCACAGTATATCATACAGTATAGAGAGAGAGAGAGAGAGAGAGAGAGAAAGAGAGAGAGAGAGAGAGAGCTGACCGAGAGTGACATCATTGCTCCAGACATCGTACTGCCATTTCCTGAGTCCGAGAACACCACACAGGACTCGACCCGTATGGATGCCGACCCGCATATTGAGGTTAACATCCGTGGATTCGGTGACGTCTGCGATCACGTCAATCATGTCGAGTCCCATCTCAACCGTACAGTGCGAGTGATCAGAGCGCGGCTCCGGGAGACCACTGACGCAATAATAGCAATCGCCGAGGATTTTGATACGAAGGCAGTGGTTGTCATTCGCCAACTGATCGAAGCGACCGAAGAGTTCATTGAGCAAACGGACCAATTCTTGAGCCGAGCACTGGGAGGCCAGGACTGTAAAGCCCACGATATCGGCGAACAAAATGCTCACGTTTTCGTGCCTCTGGATGTATATCTTGTGGAACTGTCCCAACTCGCGAGGGGACAGTATGTCAGCCTTCATCTCCATAGCCACATGTTGTGGTAAAACACTTAACAATAATCGCTCGAGTTTTTCGTTCTCGTCCTCCATCTCGAGCCTCGCGTTTATGCAATTCCTGGTGTCGAGGAAAGCCTTTCTGCCGGCCCTCTCCATCAGGTTGTGTGCGAACAGACCAATCAGATTCACCGCTAAGAATATCACCACATTTGCTATGATCTGCGAGACAGACAAACACCAAATGAGCCATAGATTACAAAATAGTAAAACACTTCAACTTTTCTTTTGAAGCATTTTATTACATTAAATTCAAATCATTGCATAAATCATAAAGAAATGTATGTTTAGAATAAGTGGTTATTAATTCAATAAATGTTTTTATGAAAATCATAAAAGTATTCATATAAACAAAACAATTCACTTATTAGAGCACTAGAATAATACTGTAAGTGCATTTATGTACATAATTAAACATAATATGTATCTCTTATAGCATATAATTACAATTATTATAATATCTTATTCTTTACATACAGTACAGTAGACTCAATACTAAGACTCAATAAGTATAGTATTTTAGTATTTTCTAAAAAATAATAAGTTATTATTTATAACTCTTTTTATGGCATACAGTCTATTAAACCATTGCATGGAAACAGAATTTTTTCAATATTTCAAAGCATTCAAAGCAATCAATTGTTGAGCACTTTATCTCTGGAGAAGATTTTCTGCAATTTATTATAGAAATAAATTTACTTTTTTTTCGGAGGGAATTAAAAGCATTACTGTATTTTGAAAACAAGAATTTTGCTTGGATATAAAATGTGCTTTAAAAATGTTTACATTAAAATTATTAAAAAATATAATGTCGATGTCGGGTAGACATTTTATTAATTTACAAAAAAGGTCATCTTATAATGGTTATAAAATCCTTTACTATAAAAATAAAAATATATATATTTGGAGATTAGGAAAAAAATCAATTAAAATACATTTACTGTAGAAATTTATGTTAACATAATTCTGTTAAACAAATAAATACAAAAATCCAAATAAGGTAGAAAGAATTGATATTTAGTTTTATTTGTGATTTTAATATTATAATATAATTATAATTAATTATATCATTAAAATATTTATTAATTAGAAATTAATAGAATATGATTTTAATAATATTTTTTAACAATTATATCTTAAAAAATGCCAATACTCGCAGAAATATATAATTTGAGCTAAAATTTTTAGTTGTAAAATATTTTTAGAAATTATATAGATATGATGTTAAATTTTGTGAAAGTGAAAATTGAAATTTAAAGAATAGTTGTTAGACTATATATTTTATATAATAATATTCTACTCTATGTATAAGTAGTAGTATTGGTTACGCAACTCAGACCTTGCCCAAGAAATGTCATTTGTTATTTAATTTACAGATATTTTAAAAAGATTTTATATATAAGCACTGTGCAGGCTATAAGTCTCTCTCTCTCTCTCTCTCTCTATACTGTATGATATACTGTGAATTACAGCGAATCACATGGAGGCTGGTGGTGTGCCGGGTCGTGTGCACATAACTCAGGCCACTCTGGACTGTCTTCACGGCGAATATGAAGTGGAGGATGGATTCGGCGCTGAGAGGAACGCCTATCTGCGTGAACACAATGTGGTCACGTATTTCATTGTTCCGCCACTCCATCGCCGAAAGGTTTGCCATTTTGTATCAGTTATTGATTTGTATTCAATTCATAACAGGTTTTATTGAGTTTGTTATGAATTCACTCTTAAATAAAATCTAATATAATTCCTGAAATATTTATTTAAAAATTAACATTTGTTTTGAGTTCAAATGATTTCAATTTATTCTATGTTTAAATTGATTCAATTCTGAAGGTTTCATTGATTAAAAGCAGCAAAACTATCAAAACGAATAGAATATTCTTGAATACAAAAGCAAACAGAAATAGTTTAGAATAATATTGATTTAGATTCACATAAAATACTAAAGAAAGGGTCAAAAGGAATAAATAAAGCAAACAATAAAAGTAGTGATTGAGAGCTATATCTTATTGCCTTCGGATACACAATCAAAGTCTATAACAATGTTTGCCTAAATCTATCATAACTGCACTCACATCACAATTATATTTATTGCATTCAAAGCAATGCATATTAAGTTATACTCTATATTAGTAACTTGGAATATTTGTTATTTTTGCAAAATACAAAATCTTGAGCCCAATAATTCATCTGCAAATTGCATGGCTATAGAAAAATCTCATTGTAATCGAAAGCACACAAAATCCATTTGGATAATAGGCACACATTTAGAAATTATATATACTTTTAGAAATTATATATACTTTACACTCTTTGCACTTACAATAGTCTCAATTGCTTTTCCTATTGATTGAATTCTTGCAATATTTTTAAAACTAATTTCAATACTTGTTTACAGCCGTTTTTGTTTAATACACTTCAAGTGAGGCAATTAGCCGGGTCTACGAAAAGGAAGTTATCGTTTAAGAATGTATCCAATGTTGTCATTCAGTTATTACATTCAATAAAATATAATATAGACGTTCCCTTCGCTAATATGGCAATGATTCCGACGGTTAACATGCAGACCACAAATATGGACAATCAATTGCCTAAAAAAGTAATTGTCTCTAAGTTTGATGTCTTAACCTAAGTTTCACTAAACCTGGATCTAATGTCTTGATTATGTGTTACGTTTAGTTTAAAATGACAGATAAGTTGCGCAAACCATTCAAAAAGAGACATTCGGTTGTCTACCATCAGGGGACCAATCGGGTCAACAAATACTTGGCTCAGGCTATTGATGCCCGCAGTGTTGACAGAGAAAAGTCAACTCATGTTAATGTCATTACTCTATGCTTTAAAGACAAGTACAAAGAGCGTCAATACCACGAGGAGAAGGACAGGGGCTTTGGTATGGCTCTGGCCTGTGCTATGGCTGTCCTCATACTATTAGGTGCCCTTCAGATTGCAATACTCCCGAGGTTTGATCGATCAATAATCGTTTGCTTTAATGACAAATATTTAATTAACATATGGTTTGTATTAACAGAACCTTAATTCTGGTCATATTATTCTTAGTGGCCTTCGTCTGGATATCTGTTCTTTTAATACTTGTTTTAGGCGCTCGTCTTCAGGTATTGCCATATATTTCAATCATTTTCTTAAGCTTTCTTACGAAAGCGACTCTATATTTATGTTATATAAATACAGTCAAAGCACAGAATGACAAGAATTTTGTTTAGATTCCGAATATTTGAATTAACCCCAAAATAATAATTATTTATTTAATGTTAAATTAAATTTCAAATTTATTTCTAAATTCAAGAATTCTTTAAATTTAGTGAAGGGAAGCTGTGAATTATGAATATAGTGTAGAATTTTGCATAATGTATATGAAAATAATATTAAATTCTGTGTTAGAGGCTATATATCCATACATTTACCCAATTATAATAATATTTTTCAGTGCGTTTGTTGGGATATTTCAAAGCATTTTCTATTACGTCTGGGAATAATGATCTTTACGGTTGTCATTATTTATTCAGTGGCTCAGGTGAATGTGGTAAGAGATCCCTTTCCTATATTTCATGATTTTCTATAAACAATTATTCAGTAATTTATTACAAACTCTTAGTCAAAACTTTTGTGTTTATTTAAATGATTTATGCTTTTAGTTCACATGTCTTGAAGACACTTCTTGTGGAACCACTTCAGGCTCTGACGAGAAGACAGTTATCGATGACCACCGTCTCTGCCCTTTCCCTCACTATATAATAATGAGTTGTATTCTGTCGTTCTTCCCTTTGGTTATATTCTTAAGGCTCCCGATGATGCTTAAGGCGGCGCTTCTTATACCTATGGCCGCAGTCTTCCTCATTGTTATTGAATTCACTCACAATCGGCTCTTTCAGTGCACTTATGAGTGAGATTTATACCATTTTATTGACATTTCATTCAATTATATATTCTTCAAACGCCGTCACAGGTTTGGAGTCCCACTCAACATAACAGGACCGGTAATTATAGTGCACTTTGTATTGGCTGTTCTCATCCACGGCCGACAAGTCGAGTGGACGGCCAGATTGGACTTCCTGTGGAACTCTCAGGCTTACGAAGAAAAGGCAGATATGCATGAATTGCAGAGCAGTAATCGGCGCATACTTTTCAATCTATTGCCATCACATGTGGCCACACACTTCCTCGACAATCAATTCAGGAATAATATGGTATTACTATAAGAATATTGCTTTTAATTGATTTTTAAATTTAATTACTTATTGTTTGCATAACTCTTGACATTTGTGCTAATACTTGATAATGATAATTAAAAACATGTGTTTGCGTACAATAAGGATCTCTATCATCAATCATACACTAAAGTCGGTGTTTGTTTCGCTTCGATACCGAATTTCATGGAGTTTTATATGGAATTAGACGGCAATAATCAGGGCGTTGAGTGTCTTCGCTTACTCAATGAAATAATCGCTGATTTTGATGAAGTAATTAATTCTCATAATTAGTATATTCTGTATATTCTGTATATTCTGTAATCTATTCATTGATTTGGTTATTTGGTGTCTAAACTGTTGTCAATGTTTTAGCTGTTGGATCACCAAAAGTATAAAGCGATCGATAAAATAAAAACTGTCGGCAGTTGTTATATGGCAGCCATTGGACTGATGCCAGAGTTTCGAATACCAGTCAGTATTGTCTTGTCTTCTTGTCTTGTCTTGTGTTTTGCTTTCGAGTGATTTATTGTCAAAAGTGTCATCATTTTGACGACACGTCTAAAGCGATTGAACGCACGTTTGCACTCTTGTATTGACTCATATTGTCCATCAATAGGAGACCGACAACGCGTTCGCTGCCGAATGTATGGCATGTTTAGTGGACTTAGTCTTTGAAATGAGGGATCGATTGTCAGAAATCAACGAAAACTCTTACAATAACTTTATGCTTCGCGTGGGACTCAACATTGGGCCCGTCGTCGCAGGAGTTATTGGTTTGACATTTATTTTGCAAACTTTTTGTCGTTTATTTGAGAATTTAAATTGAAATCTATTTATAGGCGCCCGTAAGCCTCAGTATGATATTTGGGTGAGTAATGGATTAGTGGTTGAAAGCGAAACCTATAAAACTAATTGTTAACTGTATGGAAAGGGCGATACTGTGAACCTGGCCTCAAGAATGGACAGCACAGGTCTTCCTAATCACACCCAATGCACAGAAGATGTCTATCAATTACTTAAAGTATAACCAATTTATTGATTAACCGCTTAATTGGATGCTAATTGGTATTAAATGTCTGCCCCTTAAGGACTATCCCTACGATTTCCAGTGTCGCGGAAGAGTTAAAGTGAAAGGAAAGGGCGAAATGACCACATATTTCCTCATCGACCGTAAGAACCAAAGAATGCCTAATAATTACGAGTTCATCGGTTCCGCAAATAACGGCTCGAATCGGGCGGTCGTCGGAGGCGTCGTCAACCCTTTTAGTCAATTAACAAACGATAAGAATAACTCAAAAAACAATTCAAACTCTAAAACTAAGAAAAGTGTTGTGAATGACGGAAGTCATAGTCATAACAGTAGAAATATTTTTGCAAATTCTCCATCACTTCAACCGCTGATTAGAAATGCAATGCGAAGCGCAACCGGTGCCAAACGGTCGGACACCAATCGGTCGGACACCAATCCCAGCTATAATCCGCCGAAACCTATCATAACAGACATGGAACGACCGAAAATGAATAGATCGCCGCTCAATACAATCTCTTCTATAGCTGAAGAGCCTTCAGCTCCCGAACTCACTCCCAATCATAACAATAAAGGCGACGCCTGGGAGACACTTAAAGAGCTGAGTTCCTCAGTTCCGCCGCCGCCTCCAGAATCCGATCATTTTGTTTGCAATCAAGACATTCAACGGCCGCTTACTATTGTATCGCCGACTGGAGTACAAGAAACCAATTTGGATGACATAACGCCTCCACTTCCGCCCAGAGATCACTCCAATAAGAGGCAGATCATTTTGTTTGCAATCAAGACATTCAACGGCCGCTTACTATTGTATCGCCGACTGGAGTACAAGAAACCAATTTGGATGACATAACGCCTCCACTTCCGCGGTCTCTAGTGAGGTTATTCTCCGGCAGCGCATCAAGTAGGGAGTGAGTGTTCTGATCACGGGTTTTCGTCTTGAGTCGCTTAGGAACAGATGGTAAATGAAGAGGCCGACACAGAGTCTCCAGTTGGTCTTTGGCCGAAACAAATCAGGCGACAGAGAGTCGAGAGAGTCGAGAGAGTCGAGAGAGTCGAGAGAGTCGAGAGAGTCGTCTCTCAGCTCTCTCAGACCTATACCTCTGTTGAGTCCGGTGGAGACGCTTCCGTTGCCCATCTGGGAGAAGACACCTGCTCAGTAGGAAAATAGTGAGCTCGAGAAGTAGTCTGCAATACGGGCAGACCGACGCGGAAACCAATTATGGAGGTCTGACGCGCACTGATTTGGACACTCCTTCGCCGGCATTTAATCGCAATTCTGGCGGATCCGCTTGTCTTCAGTGGGTTTATCCTAATCCTGAAAATATTTCAGAAGCCGAGCATTCGTTCGTTCGGACCAACAATAGAGACGATTATTGTATTTTCATTAAACGCAATGAATTAAGTGGTTGTAAACCAAAGACAACATCGAATGCACCGACAGATAGTCAGCCAACGAACTCAAAGAAGCACTACCACCACATCCATCATCACAATCACTCTCACCACTCGTCTAATCCAAACAATGAGAGCACAAAACACTCTAATGTCAAGAGTCATGGAAGTCATGGAAGTCATGCAAATGCCACACATTCTGGTTCTTTGAAGAGTGACGGCTCTTCAGGAACTAATAGCGCGCGAAAAAGACATCGAAATAATAGGAGGGATCGCAGCAAAGATGACGACGACATCAATATTCCTCTTCTTCACAAACACTCATTCAGTGGCAGAACGGCTGCGAGTGATACGGAGGAAGAGCTCGATCTGAACCTAATGGGCGCCGCCTCTCGACGCCACAGAACAGACTTTGTTAGGCGTTCCCCATCGTTTGGCTCGAGTTCTTCGCGAAGTCAACGAAAGGGAAGTCTTCCGGACTATTATAAGTCAAACTCAAACTCAAAATACGGCAAAATTATGCCCAAAAAGTTGCCGTCAATGGAGAGCGTCTCCAAACAGAATCCGGAATATTCTCCGAAACTCAGGAGTAAAGGTTCGCTTCCAATGATTCCACTCCAAGAGCTTCGAAACGTAAACGAAGTTTTGGCAGAATTTGGTTATAAGAAGGAGAAACTGAAAGCCAATAACGAGTTTTGCATGAGTTTTGAAGAGGAAGAGGAAAGGCATGAGTCGAACAGTGATGTGTTGATCGCCACCAATAAAGACAATCACAACGAACACGAACTCATGAAAACCCAAGCGCTCAACTCGAAGGCACACACTCTCCTCGATATGGCCGCAGATTTGGTTGCATTTGAGGAGCAGTTTCACAACACTTCACGTCCGATGGCTTTTCGGTTCCCTTTAGAAGACATCGATTTCTCAAATAAAGAGCAAAAGATTTCTAATAAAAGTGAAAATAATTTGAATGCAAAACGCTTTGCACAACGAAGACATGCAAAGGAGTCTGAGTATGAGAATCTCGATTCAGATGACATTCCTCTCTATGAAGGAGACATTGATGACGACGAGGAATATAATAAATCTGAAGACAATCAGTTGACAGATGAGCACCGGTTGGTGAGCGATGAGAGCTCGGTTCACTCGGAAAACCAATCTTTGAACGATGAGTCCAACCGATTGTTTGACACCAATTGTGATGAGAGTATCGCCGGTCTCGACGGTCTGTCTGTTGTAAACGACTCGGGACTGACTGACGCCGAGGGAGCGCTCAGTGATGTTAACTCTTTGCTGAACGACGGCGGACACGAAGGAGATATGGACGACACGAGTATGTCTTCCAGATCTGGTGCCAGCTCTCGAATGCTGGATAATATCGACTCAATTAATCTGATGTATGACTCGGAGTTTGAATACCCGGCGCACAACAGACGCCTCAGACCTGATATCTTGTCAGATGACGACTGTCTGAATGTGGGCGCCGACAGTGATATAAACATCGATTACTTAGAGGGCCAGCAGGGCAACTTAGTGACCCCCAATACTTTGGCTGAGAGACTGGAAAACATCCGGATTATGACGAACAACATAACTCGAAATTTCGGTCAAATCAAGAGCGATGTCTTGAGGGGTAAAGTCGATGATACGGACGACTCGGAAGCTTAAGACTCATCGGGTGATCATCTCATGAATGACTAGTTTGAAGGTTTTGAGTGCCAATTGTGTTGAATATGTGTTTTAGTTATAAAAATAGATAGCGTTAAACAAAACACTATTTTTGCTGAAATGATTTGACATTAAATTTGAAATTATATTTAATGTAAAATGAAATTCAATTAAATAATGAATTATAACATAAATTGTAATACAGTTGTAAATTATAGTTTGCGACAGATTTGAGATGTTTTCTGTTTCTTATGATTCAAATGATTTTTTATTCATTACTTAATATTTAATTGAAATATTCATTCATTTTTTAATTAATTTATTATTATATAAGTTATTATTAATGGAAATAATTATAAGTTTATATTCTTTGATATGATATAATCTAAACTCGATTTGAAACTATTGTGAACAAAATCTGTTGATTACTAGTCGTTAACTTTGATTCAACTATAAATTGAAAGCAATATTGAAATTCAGCACAATTTTAACATTCAATTCAATGTGTTTTACTTAAGAGTTAACTCTTTTTCTTAATTCAAAACTCAGTTCCAAAAGAATCTCTAATTATTTATATTTCTTATATAAACAACATTTCGACTTATTTACATAAAAATCAAAAATTGTTTATAAAGTTTAAAAGTTGCTTAAAGAATTTTTTGTTATTTTTCAAAATTTGAATATAAGATAACTTAATAAAAGAGAATAATATGATGACATGTCATGTAGTATCCATATATTGTTATAAAGTTTTATTTTAGTACCTTTATCATAATCACCAAAAATATTGATTTTAAAATGGATAATTTACGGCATAAATGGATATATTATGAAAAACAATTTAAAACTTAGTTTAAAAACAAATTTTAAAATGTAATTGAGAACTTAATTGTATTATTTTAACATTGATGTCTTCAAAATACAATGTACTGTTCCCTCCCCTAACATTTCATAACCAATCATGAAATGGTAAATGCGATCACCGACTGGTCGCACATTAAATCCATGTCTGGTTCCTGATGATCACTACGACAACAACAAATACTGTATATATAAGTCATGTTCAATAGTAATTTAATTGCTATTACTGAATAATTGTCATCATGGATAATTAGATAAATTATTTGTCAAGGTAAAGTCATTAATTTTCCACTAAAGTACATATGGCGTTAAAGGTCCTTTGTACTAAGTATTGTTTGTTTTATACTTTTATTTTGCTGTAAAATATCCTTAATTAAAATAATATTTTTAATAAAAATAACAAAAATTAGATAATTGTAATAATGGGTAAAAACTATTTAAGATTGCAAAATAGATTTAAGAATAAACTTTTACATAATTATAAAAATTATTTTAACTATACATATGATATCTCTTTCATATCCGATAAAAGGCACAAAATTTAATAAATTAACAGTTAATACATTTAATACTAAAAACTTAATCATTAATCATATCATACCCTGAATTATGATTTGGAAAGGATTTGCTTTTGATATATGTTTTGATTTTAAAAAATAAACGCTTAAAGAGTTAACGACTTTTAGATAAACAATAATAACAGATAAGGAATAGAAGTATCGAATAAGTAGTGAACAAAAAAAGTATGAAATAAATAAATATATTAACAAGAATTGCATTCAAAACATGTTATCGAACTCAAGCAGCAGAAACTCAATGATCTGGTTTTGATGCATTCGTAACATCATATCCAACGCAAAGTTGTTTGAATCGTTTTCGGGCCACATTAGGGTCGGCCCAAACACTATGGCCAGGTTCTGGATGTGCATCCGGTTCTGGTCACTGTGCTCCTTCACCCTATAGTCCATACAATCACACATTAAGTACTGTATCGTCGATCACATACGCATGTCATGACAAACCTGAGTAAATGTGACAAAATATGCTTCAGAGTCTCGTAATTGGGTTTCGGTAACGCATTCACTAATTTTGTTAACGACTCTAACTTTGTTTTCCTATCGGAAAGCACTGAAAGACACCACTCATTAATAGAAGCACTTTCTCATTGAATTCATGTCGAAAAATACCGATTATTTTCATGAGTGCATCGAATCGATCGCATGGAAAGAGGGGTTCTTTCATATCACGAAAAAACATTTTCAGGAGTCCTGTCAACACGTGGACGTCATCCTCGGCCCAAATGCCGTTGAAGTCGTCGTTATTGATTTGAAAGCGCAATCTCTGCACTTGTGAGAGATTACCGCACGCTCTGTACAGGCCGTCCGCTGTCAAGTCTTTCGCTTCAATCGCCTGAACGCACTGCTGAACAAACTTCGGGACCATTTGTTTGTCTCTCAGACATAAAATATCGAGTTTTCCTCCGAATACCGGTTCGTCTGAATTGCATTTCACTTACAATTAGTATAATTGTCACAAAAAGCACACAAAAGGCAAACCTTTGAAAATGCCTTTCTCACGAAGACTTTCAAGAGTTGGTCGCCTTCTGAGGAATTGTCGCAATCGCTCTTTGATTTTCTTCCTCCGCTCCGAAGGGATGTTATTCGCGCTCTGACTCACTGTTAGTGGAAAACTGGTCGACAACTCATTCTCTGCCAAATCCTCACGCTTTCGATATTCTGTTGCATCGAAACAAATGAATGTGAAAATAAAATAAACGCAAAATAACAACAAAATGAGCGCACGTTTTGTAGATTTGGATCGTTTGAGTTTCGATCCCTGTTTGTCATAATTATCGGATTCATCGCAAATCGATACCATTGGCTGAAGATGTTTTCAATGAAAATAATCGTACGATTAGTCAAATAAAAGCACAAAACATCATGAAATGTATCACCAGTCTGTGAATGGCATTCTTGATCAGATCGAACCACTCTTTGCAAGTGAGAGCGCACTCCTCCTGCAGCAGAACCTGTTGTCCGGCAACAGTACTCACTTGAAAGCAATTTTTTCGACTCGACTTCTCGGGGGACCAGGAGATCATGGCTCCGGTCAGGTCTATGATTATCTCAGGTTTGGACCCCTTTTATGATAAATAAAATTTAAGCACTGATTGTCATCAAGTCATAGACATAGTCACTGATGGCGTACCGATTGGGCGGACTTCATGTCCTTAAAGAAGAGTAGATAGTAATGAGTGACCGCTAAGTAACAATTGGACCAATTCTTTCGCAATCGTTTCCCCCCTTCAATCAGTTTCGATCGATTCATAACTCCTTGTTTCAGAGTCTAATCACAAATCCATTCAATCAGTTATAAATGCATACAATTGTTACGAAATGTTCAGACACTGACCACTGAGTCGTCCAAACAAGTGGGCGGCGGTTGATATTCACTGAGCGCTGGTTCTGTACTTGGATCCGGTTCTTCTTGTAATAGAATGGCTTCCGAAGACATTTGATATTAAAATAAAATAACACATAAATAGAGAATATCAATAATACCCGGAATGTTAGGCCGTGAGGCCAGAGAGCTGTTGACGGGTAGGAAAGCCATGGATCGCGCCTTTATATTGCGCTCGAGAAGAGATCTTTGAGAAGTGGATAATTTAGTCATTTTCTTGCTTTTAGAAACTAAAAGACCTCTAAAGCTAAGTGAGCTACCCGGGCTGTATAGTCCTAAGGCACGGAGGCTACTGTGCTGTCTGAAGACGGGAAGGAAAGTATATTTTTCTAGTTTTGTTAATATATTTTACTTTACTAATTCACATAACAATATGTATTTTGACTGTAAATAAAACAAATTGGTTACAAAATAATGAGTTATTGATAACAAGTATTTACTGCCGGTTCTCATAGCAGTCACAATTTGCACACATAATCAACAAATAGATAAAAATATATATATATTGTGCAAACATTTGTAATTAAATAATTGTTAAATAAAAACATTTCTAGAAACGCAAAACTATTAATAAGTTTATATTTAATTAAAAATATTTAAACAAACATTCATAACAAGTATTGAATTAGTTTCAAAATATTTACTCAATTTAAAAGCCAAACGAAAGGCTTGTATGGAAAGTGAGAAAAACAAAGTGAATCTTACGTCGAAGTCATCGTTGGTGTTGAGATCTGGGAGTTCCCAATAGGACTCGT